ATCTCAAAAACGCACAGAAGAGGCATCTTTGCCATCCACGTGAAGACATGCCAGTGTGACACACAGTAGTCACTCATCTGAACACTTCACTCGTGACACGAGGAGGGGTGGCTTGCAGGGAACTGTGCCTCCCTGAGTGCAGGCTGGGAGTCTCCGAAGCCCGTTCCTACACGAGGGCATGGAAAGGCCCGAGTCCAGGATTCACAGGAGTTCTATACATCCAACAAGCACTGTGTGTGCAGTTCAGACTCTGTGGGAAACACCGAAGAAACAAGAGTCGGGGCCAACCTTGGTACTTGGTGATCAAGGTGAAAGACAGAGGCACGCAAAACCAGAAGGGAGAAAACCACGCCCACGTTCGCCCGGAGTCGAGTTCTCATAACCCTCAACCAACTTGTCTGGAAGAACTCGCCTCCGGAACCCCACCGAGGGAAGGTTTCTGGAGGAATGAGGCTGAGCTGCCCAAACAGCAGCCGACAAGTGTGTGAACCGCGAAGTGTTTCCTGACTTCCAGCATGGAGGCCCTCCTGAGCCCGGCCCCGGTAGGGAACGCTGGCGTGGTAAAGTAAGCCTGTCCTGACCACACAAGGCAAGAAGAACCCTCCGCGCTTTGACACTGCCCAACATTCAAGGTACTGAATGATCTTTCGAGTCCCATCCATTGCTGTCTGAAAGCTGGGGACCAACCAGGAAGAGGCTCTCTCTGAAGAGAGTGACCTGTGACTACAGGAGGCTAGGGTTTTTTTTGTTGTTGTTGTAGTTGTTGTTGTTTTGTTTTTTGTTTTTTGTTTTTTTGAGACAGGGTTTCTCTGTGTAGTTTTGGTGTCTGTCCTGGATCTCGCTCTGTAGACCAGATTGGCCTTGAACTCACAGAGATCCGCCTGGCTCTGCCTCCTGAGTGCTGGGATTAAAGGCGTGGGCCACCTCCACCTGGCTGCTAGTTCCTGCCCATTCACTTAACCCAACACTGTGTTTCTTTCTTTGGACACCAGCTTCACCTGTCACTTTGTCCTGGCTGGTTACATCCAGCTCCACAGGACACTGCACACTAGAGCTCTGCTTTTCTATATGCTTTTCCTGTCCCAAGATAAGCACAGCTTGATGGAGGGATGGCACTGGTGGGCCGGAACTGCAGCCGTTTGGAAGAGTGTGAAGCTCCTTCTCATGTTCGCGGAAATGCCTGTTTTCACCACCAAGCTCCAACCAACCCACCCTCCTTTTCCATGGTCAGGAAGCCCCCACAGGTAGACCTGTGTTCACATGGGACAACCGCCAAAGGACAACACAGGTGCAGAGGCATGCTGGGTCAAATATAGGGGTACACACCTCTTTCCAACTCCCCGAATCTACCAGCTACTGGAATGCATCAGTGAGGAAGCCCATTATACTAGCGTGTAGGGGTGGACATGAATGAGCCGAGCTCCACAAAGCTCCAGGGTGCTTCCTGTGCAGCTGAGCACTTTACAAGAGAAGAGAAGTGGAGCCAGGAGAGACGCCGCTTGCCTTGGTGCCATCTGTTTACACATCATGGGGAATGGAGGTCTGTTACCCAGCCCTGCGCTGACCACAGCCAGGACTCAGACCCCAAACGCAGCCCAAGCAAAATGGAGCCTTGTCTTTGACACGCCCCCTCCCCCCCAACCCAGCCAAATAGGAATAGTTGATTTACTTACATATAATAACCCAACGCCAAACTCCCAAGTCAAAAGAAAACGCCGGGCCAACACGAAGCTTACCCCGCTTCAGGAGTTCTAGAAGCAGACGTGCTTTGGCGCTCCCGGTGGTGGCCTCTTGGCTTGCTGCTGCGGCTTTCAGAGCTGCTCACGTGTCCTGTCCCCAGGGACGACTTACTGTGGGCATGAGCTGTCGGGCCATCCTCGTACCCATTCAAAAGGCCTTGGCCAGCTCGGGTTCTTGTCCTTGTTGGCCGGCATCCCTCTGATTTGTCCTTCCGTGGCGCTGAGACCTCCCGGGCTGGTTTGTATCCATGAGAAATCAGGAGATCTTCCACACTGTACATGGTGCAGCGTCATCAAAGCTCACCAGTTCGGACCATCATGGCGGCAGGACCCATCACTGAAAGGATAACGAAGAGCTGCCTTCATGAATGCCCACACCGAAGTGGACACCCACCCTCCCCAGGCCTGCCCGGGATGCATATCTAGACCTTGTCTGGGAAAGATGGGATCTCACTAGGTAGTTCACACTGACTGTATGGACTTGCGATCCTGCTGCCTCAGGTTTCCAAGCACTGGAGTCACAGGTGTGTGCTACTAGACCAGCCAGGGTCCACGGGAAACTTCTGTGAGACAAATGTCTTCACAGTGATTTTGTACAAAGTTTTCCATCTCTCAGCCAAGGGTGGCCGAGGGTAAATCTGGCCTGGAGACCAGCATACTTAGTGGCTTATCCCAGGTTAATAACTAGAGGCAAGAAGATCAAAGAGAGGGAATGAATACATCCTAAGACAAAGCAGGTGGAGCTGCCAGTCACAGAGACTGGGGCCAGCCCTGGCCTGGACACCCTGGGGTAGGGAGCCCCAGCCCCAGTCCCTCCGCTGCTGTAGGGAAAGTCACTATGGCCACCGAAACAATTGCTAAGAAATGCATGCTGGCCAGTGCACGGGCGCAATGAAGTTGCCTGCACTTCCTGCCCGTGGGCATTCTCCCTGGGTCCCTGCACGGTTCTGCTGACCCCTGGGTGCGTGTCACCCATTAGAACACACAAGCAGAGACATCTCTGCGGTCAGCTTGGGGATGATCATATCTTGTAGGTCTAGAACTGTGCATGGTGTCCCTCTAGATTTTGGAAGGTTGGAAAGCTCTGGGAGTTGGTGACCTCACAGAAAACTCTCTGCCACACCATTCCTGACACTGCTTTGTGACTTTCGGGAAGTCACAATAGTGTGACTTTTGGGAAGTCGCAAATGGGCCATTCACTTATACAACAAAGAAGGACTAGAGAAACAAATATCTCTTCAAACCAGCTTAGCAAGGACCTTGGCTAAGGACTAGAGAAAAGAAGTCACAGCACAACTCGGGGCTGTGTGAACGCGAGGGAAGGTTACTTAGTCGGGGATTTTTGCTGGCTACACCCCCGGCATCCAACAACTAATATGCTTTCTGGAAACACTTGTGAACGGACACATGAATGAGAGAAGGGGTAGGTACTGGGCGGTGTGAAAACAGTCAGGAGGTGGATAGGTACGCTGCATTTGTCAATATGGGAGTGCGAAACTTGGCCCTTTAAACGGACTCTGGGTCTGATGACCTCAGGAGCAAAACCATGCCTTAGAGACCGAAGACTGGTGGCCCAGGGTAAAGATCTCACAGCCACGAGACTGTGTCTTCAGACAGAGATGGTTGTATGCAGCCCCTCTGCACGGAACATCCATGTGGACCACTGTCCAACATCCCTATGTGCCCACAATTATATTCCGAAAAATCTTCAACAGGACAACAACCCACATACTAAGGCAAATATGTCTTTCAGAAGAGATCCAGCTTGTCAAAGCCAAAGTGACCTCAGATGACTGAGGTCAAGGGATCTCTGTTGTGGAGAGTCTTACCTGTTTTCCTCTCTAGGGCCTGCAGTTCATGGGTGTGGGAGTAGAGTACAGGCTTCAGGGCTCAGGGCTGAGCGACCGGCTGACCCACAGACCTTACCCACAACCCCCAAAGGCCCCACCGCCATGCAGGCTCACGGAAGACTTCCGCCCCTTGGGTGTGCTCTTCACCTTTACCCAGCTCAGCCTGGCCTCTGCCTTGTTTCCACATGCACAGGAGGCCCTGACCCCTCTCCTACAGCTTCCTGTACACTAGTGTTCTAACACCTGCTGCGTTTGGCTTGTGTCTTTGATGCCACTTTCCACTGAAAATGGAACGGGCTGCGTCAAGCGGTAACAGTTCCTTACTACAGACACGTTAATTGCCGTGGCCGCCAAGACAGGCCAGTGAGGGGGCTCGGGCACCCATGGAGTTTTCGTCTCCTTCGAATTCCAAGATACCAAGAGCGTAGGTCAATGGCGTGTGATTCCGTCACTCCCGCACCGCCATGACAACAGCCGGCAGGCACTGAAGCTGTCACTGTCATCAAGTTGTTCTGTAACCCGGGAAGGTAAGAGTATATTGAAAGGACACAGGATCAGACGCACCCCAGGGCCTGGTGAGCTACTCTTTCAGGTGGTGTCCCTGAAGTGAGTGGGCAACCACTCCAAGCTTTCCCATATGCAAAATGGCAGCGAACCATCTTCCCAGATTACTGCACTGTTCTGAAAGTCCAATAGGAACACGTACACATCACCATGCAAACATCACATGACAGACTGTTACGCCGCACTGTCAATTTTCAGCACGTGCTTTTACCATTTCCTGCCCCCTCTGGTATCATGTGGTGTGTCACTCTTGATTTCCGACCTCATACCCACTTGGTATCACCACATACTCGAAACTCAGCCTCCCCGAGTAACCAAGAATGGAATATTGCTTTGCAAGAAGAAACATTAAGACACATTTCCTAGAAGCATAGTATGCACCAAGCTCTGAACTGATAATGAAGAACACATTCTTTGTCTCTACTGTCTGCCTGAACAGACAGCAGGCAATTAAAACTAGGCATATGTGTGGTAGACACATGATAGGAGCTGGTTACCTATCCCATGGATGGAGACAGGATGACTGGAAAGAGACCCTATCCAATCTCAAGGGATTGACAAGGCCTCTGGAAGGTTCTCAGTCAAAGAAAACCTCTGCCCAGGTTGCACTCTGTATTATTTTGCAGCCAGTTCATTCAATAAATTTCTTCTTAGTCAGAC